ATTTATGCTTAAACAATCATACTATAGACTGCACGAACCAGGATTTGTACATAAATGGCATATACTACATTTAATTTTTTTTAAAATCAAAATGCCTCCATATTCACTCCCTGTGAAAGGCAAAGACACTCAGGAGGTAGCACATGCCAACAGTAACCATTCGATGTTAAGATTAGCTGTGACTTCCTCTTCTGAAGGTTGCTTAGAATAAGCTGATGACGAAATCGAATTTTCTGTATGCGCCAATACCAATTTAACCATAAAAACGAATAAATAAGTCTTAGAAAGATTGGTTGTCACACTGGCGGAGTTGAACCCTCATTCTTTAACAGGAGGCCTACTTAACATTACACAACGCACTTCTACGTTAGACTTGTACATGAATAAAAACTATAAACTTGGTTATTATATAAAAACGTGAAGCGGAGATCTTTTGCCACAGTAAAAATGAGTAAAAAAAATTTCTGTGGATTTTGCAGAAGGCGCACGAACAGTTATTCAATACATGCAGCACTGCTTGGCATGAAAGGCACCATATTGGTCATGTGCTCTGGCACTTCAATCCTTCGAACTGTCCATTTGCATAGAGCATTTTCAACCTGAAAATACACACATACAATAGACATACAGTTAGCGATTTTACCGATACAGCACTTGATAAAGATTCATAATGGCTGATAGTCAGTCAGCATTCATTATACACAACTGCAATTCCGGGCATTAATCTCTGATTTCTTGTATTTGTTGTACAATAATAATAATAACTTTGTTATATAACTTATATTTGTTATATAATAATAACACTTCAACTGCTGTACTGACGAGGTCCGGCTGTGGAACCGCTGAGCTAGAGCGTATATAGCTTAACGGGCTAAAATGCCTTAATTTCAACTAAATTCCTGTATGCGCCAGTAATTCCAAGCATTAGTATGTTTTACTGTTACCGGGCCAATTAAGCTGCTCTAGGCTGATAATTTACTTCTCCTGAAGTACCAATTGATGTTTTCACTTAAAGTACCAATTGATGTTTTCACTTAAACTGAGCAATTAGAAGATGCTAATATATTTGGAATGCTTGGATTAGTTGTAATTCACAGCCTGCTTTTGCAACTATGCAGCTAGCAACTTCTCCAGCTGTCATGCCCCGTACTGCATCATCAGCCTACTGATGGTTCTTGCTTTCTTTCGCCTGCTGGAAGGAAAAACAATTCGGATTTTCCCCCAACAAAACCGAAAACTTCACCCATCTCAAGATCCCTTCGGTGTAGGCTAGGTAACAATCATCGGATTATCTCAAAAGTTGGTACCAGAAGCGGCTGACGATGAGAAAATTAACAGCATTGCCTGATGATCACAGATCTTCAAAAGAAGTTACACGAACTGGGACAATTTGCAACATTTGCTCCAAACATGCGCCCGAAAACCTTTGAACACAAAGCAAACTAATGGAAATTCGGCGACGAAACTGTCGAGGTTCGCATAACCGGTCGTAACTTCAGCGCAGTATCAGGAGAAAACGCTTCGAAGGCAAAACCCCTCCCTTCTTGTGTCAGAGGGGAAACGAAAATATCAACAAACCTTCATAAGTGATTCGCGAAACACATCGATCTTCTTCGTCCACTCGGGGCACTCAGCTGGTCTTCCCAGAAACGCGTACTGCTCGAAAAGAGCGTGCATGTAATTAACAATGCTTACTGGAATGTCGGAATTGCCTGATGAAATCTGCAACTGCTTCATTTTGAAACGGTTTCTGGGCTTTTAATTTCATCGACCTATTAAAAAAGCTGGTGCAAATTAACACAAAAATCTTGGATACGGAGTGCAAGGACAAGAGGGGTGGAATAAGGGTTGATGCAGTACAACCAAGCACAAGTTTCAAGTAAAAATGTGAAAAGTATTTTTTAAGTGACCCTTTTCGACAGTTTCTACTCAAATATGTAAAATGTACATTAAAAAAAAGCCATGGACGTAGTTTAGAAAAAACAAAGTTCACAGAATCAAATAGAAATATTCCGGTAAAACACTCAGGACTGCTCGATATTGAAATGCTTTAATTATGCTAAAATCTAAGCTAACAATCTCAGTACACATGGGATGGCAGAGAAAGTACAAGATAGTAACACTTGGCTCCAAGTTTACACTAACTTCAAAGGATTTGTTAAGTGCCAGCAAATTACGGATTGCAAAAAATACCCAAGTATGGGAGTGCAGAAAAACTCAATGTACAGGTTATGCAAAATCCTCGCTTTTCAACGCAGAACAATATTTGAAAATGAGATAAAATTACGATAATTTTTGTCGGGTCATAAAATGTTTCTGAGCAAAATTCATGAGTGAATTTCTTCTCTTCCACTTTCACCTTCCCGTAACAATTTTGCATTTTTCTTCAGAAAAAAATATAAAATACAAAAGAGACTTTTTGGAATATCAAAAATATCAAGACAGCCTGTGCAGTCGATATGGAGATCCCATGCTAGTAAAGTTATTGATATGCTCTCATACGCCGAATATTTTATGTTTGATCCTCACATGAGCCGCGAAAAAAGTATACCTCACTGAGTGCAAGTCTCATCAGTTCACCAGCGATATCGAAAAGACCCAGCAAATAACTGAGCACCGGAAGCGTCACATACAGCCTAAAGTATCTCTTCCAAAAACGGCAATTTTAAGAAAGATAATGAAAAATAGAAATAAATACTCCTTCATAATTTTCTTTGGCTGAGAGACAAAGACATTGGGAAGAAGCCCGAGTGGTAGCACCTGTGCCAAAAGAAATATCACATACACACATATGCAAGGCTGCCGATAGCTCCCTCTGTTCTTGGGGAAAAGATCGTTTCGATTCCCGGACATGTACCAGTATCAAATTACCATCCAAAGAAATAAAAGAAACCTAGAGGGATTGGCTGTCCCACTGGAGGAATCGAACCTGACTGCAAGCGTGGAAGTACTGTTACATTCTTACTTCTCAGATTTTAAACAACAAGAAATTTTACACATAAAAATTTTGTAAACTACCCAATCTTAATATCAACTACGGTTATCTCAGAATCCTTAAACAACGCCTACCCTTTCTCCTCCGTGTCGAAATGTAGCAGTTCGTTTGCCTCACTGAATGAAAAAACTCCGCCAGTTCTGACAAACTTGTAGAAGGTCTGAGCCTCGATATATTCTGAAAAATCATAAAACAGAACTCGTCAGTGAATGATGAAAACTATGCAAAATTACTGCACTGTGCGGTCGCCAAAATAAAACTGCAATTTAAAAAAAAGCGCTGAAAAATTCTATTCCCGTAATTCCTACCAGAAATGTTTTGGTACACTTGCCCAACGGCACTGATGTAAATTACGACGGGATATAAGTTATCTCCAATTTTGTTATTCTTTTGATGGTTCCCGGTCGCTAAATACTTTTTCATAGCTAGAAGTGGAAATGTCCGGGACGAGGCAGTGTTGCTTAACATTAATAAATTATATCTCGAAACGACTAAAGCTTTGCCAACTACTTCTCCTTGAGCTAGCAGTCCCTACAGAAAATGAAACAGACGCTAGAATCGTCAAGAGAGTGACTATCAAGCGGTGCAACACTGGTCAAATTTTCAACTTCACGGATAGGCAAAAAAGAAAAAAATAACGATTATTTCAAGTATTACAGATAAATAACACTTGGAAAAGAACTTTTAACTGCACTACTTTTTTTATCTCATCAACTTGCAAGCAAAGAACGATTCAACGAGCATTTTTCGCTCGTTCCTTCCTGCCATTTAATGCCTAAACTAGAAAACCGTGTAGATGCTACTGGTAGCTAAGAAATTTTAGCAAAAAAGGAGCGCAGCTGACCTTCCAGGGCCCAAACGTAGGATTTGGCATAGTAATAGTGGTCCTGGCCACGCAGTTCCACTGCTATTCCATGTATTATTTTATTACGCACATCATCCAAACGGCCGCCAACTTCAGACAGCAAATTTTCTGCAATAGAAATTGCTCCCCATAATTAAAATTGACAATGAAAAAAGTTAACAGCAGCACGAAAAGGCTGTGCAGAAATAACGCCGACAAAAACTTTTAAAAAAAATCATTCATCCACCGGTGTTAAGAGATGTATCAACTGCAGCTTTTCAGGCACGCTTATTAGCTGTGTGAGGATCTGAGAGAATGTGGGTGAAATGGAAAAAAAATTTTTTTCTCATAGAAAAAAGAAAAAAAATTTTTTCTCCTCCTGAAAAAGTATACAAATTCTCGCAATTTAGTCCGATATTTGACATACTATTTCAAGACAAAAAAATTTTTTTGCAGCAGTGAAAAACTGCTAAATGCAGCAGCTCCAAAAAGCACACAGAATTTGAATATGCCATAAAACTGAATAAACAGCCGTCCACTTTGGAAACTTTCATAGCATCAGACGAGAAATTCTGCATGTTTTCACCCAATTCATTTCTTAAAGCCAAAAAGATGATTTCCGAATGTATATGAGGAATACTGATGCGCAGAGAGGATCGATACAAACATGCGTTTTGAATGAGAATTCTGTTCGTGATTATTCACCCTTGGCATATATAGTTCGAGACCCGATAGGTACTGACTGGGGACACGCAGACTAGAATCGAAAGGCCTTACGTAACTGCGCTCGGCATGTGGGAGCATTCTAGTGACACTACTCCAAGGGAATATCCATGCTGACAACCCAAGCAATTTGTTAGTACAGCTGGAGATCCAACGAAATTCGAAGGGTAGTACCACAGTTACAGGTCACTGCGAAATTAAGCACTAAGTCCCCAGAATTTTAATATCGAAGTGATCGCGGAAATAATCGAACTGATCGTAATAATGAATATTAAAAATTGCATAAATACAAAAAAGAAAAAAATAAAAATGCGAAAAATTCAAGGCTCCAGTCAGTTGAGTGCTGCATCCCTGCAGCAAAAAATC